GAGACGGGGTACCTGAGACGGGGGTACCTGAGACGGGGTGTACCTGAGATGGGGCGTACCTGAGACGGGGGTACCTGAGACGGGGGCACCTGAGACAGGGGTACCTGAGACGGGGGTACCTGAGATGTGGCGTACCTGAGACGGGGCGTACCTGAGACGGGGGGTACCTGAGACGGGGCGTACCCGAGACGGGGCGTACCCGAGACGGGGGATACCTGAGACGGGGCACCTGAGACGGAGGTACCTGAGACGGGGGTACCTGAGATGGGGCGTACCTGAGACGGGGCACTGCACGAGAGCCCGGCCAGCTCGCCGATGCGCGCAGCGGCTGCAGGGTTGCTGGAGCTGATGAGGACCGGGGGGCTGATGTCCATGGAGTGGCGCTGCTGCCCGGCGTGTGTGGACTTGCCTGCCGTGGTCAGCGACGTGAACGAGTGGCGCTTCCGTGTGTTCTTCTTAGCGTCTGGCTGCTTTGGGGCGGTGGCTGAGGGACCCTCTCCGGCCCCCATGCCCGGCCCGGGGGGCTGGTCCCATTCGATCAGCTGCTTGGCCGCCGAGTTAAACTGCGAACCGACAGAGGACAGGAGGAGTGAGAGGGCAGTGGGCGTCCGCTCTCAGCGCGCTGAGCCCAAAGCTGGGTGGCGCCGTGTCCCCGTCTGCACATGCAGGTGCCGCTCCTCCCACGGGGGTGCCCCCCTCCACCCAGGCGGCGCTGCGCCCACACCACAGACACGTGTTAAATCAGGGCAGACGGCTCCAGGGCCACACCGACAAGGTCAAGAACAGTCCCCTCGAGAATCGTCAGAACAGCTCGTGTCAAACTTTGCCAGGAGCCAACGGAGACGTGCTTCCGCCCACTGCCGAGTTGCAGAGTGAGGGGAAGGGGGCGCTGCCTGCCGGGGGCCTCCGCTCGGAGCACCGCGGGGCCTGCAGTGCCCACCTGGGCGGGTCCAGGGAACAAATCCACGCAGAGTGCCTCACGCTCTTGCGCAGGCACCACCTCTGCCCCCTGGGCCCCGCAGAGCCTCACACCCACACCGGGGGAACTCCTGATGGATCCTTGTCATGTCTGTGTCCGTTATTTCCTTGTGCTCACATTCTGAATTAGGACGGGTGAGACACGAAATCCAAGTCCTGCTGGCAGGTTAGCCTGGTCTGTCTGAAAAGTCGTTGGAGTGTAAAGTTAGGGCACAGGGGTTTGGCAAAAGCTGTGCACACAAGACGGGGAAGCAACCTCAATGTCCACTGACAGATGACTGGGTAAAAAGCTGTGGTGTATCTGTACAATGGAATACTACTCAGCCATTAAAAAAATTAAATGATGCCGTTTGCAGCCACATGGATGGACCTGGAGACCATCATTCTAAGCGAAGTAAGGCAGAGAAATAAAAAAAAATATAATATCACTTATATGTGGAATCCTTAAAAAAAAGACACAAATGAACTTATTTACAAGAGAAATAGACTCACATAGAAAACAAACTCATGGTTACCAGGGACGAAAGGGGGTGGGGAGGGATAAACTGGGAGTTCGAGATTTCCAGATACTAAGCACTACATATAAAATACATCAGCAGATTTCTACTGCAGAGCACAGGGAACTATATTCAGTATCCTGTAGTAACCTCTAATGAAAAAGAACATGAAAAGGAATGTATATGTGTACGTATGACTGAAACACAACGCTGCACACCAGAAATGGACGCAACACTGTAAACCGACTTCAGTTAAACAAAAAAGCAGCAGCAGCTTGCCTGGGACTGGGAACCAGCAAGAAAGGGGAGAGAGCCGGCTCCTGTTTTCCCTGAGACAAAGCAGGGCGTTTCCACACAGCCTCCCTGACACGCAGCCGCACAGGGACTCACCTGGATGTTCCAACAATGGGACACGCTGAGTACAGGCAGCCTCTTGGGAAACACGGAGGAGACAAGCAGTGAGCCCCCACGGGGAGCGTGGGGGACACCAAGGACGGCAGAGCGCTCCCCACGCCAGCCCTCGCCTCTGCGACCAGCGCTCCTCCCACCCGGCCCGGTCAGCCAG